TCGACTGGACTTTAAATTACCCTCAAAAAATGATCATGTTCTCAAAGGATTTACTGGTTCATCACATGCCAACTTCTCAGATGATCGAAAGTCATACTCTAGGCATATTTTCGGCGAGGGGAATCTAGTATCACCTGGTGCTTCAAAAAGTAGAATACTGTGGCATTATCAACAACGGAAGCGGAGTATATGGCATTATCAGATGTATCGCGACATATGATTTGGATACAAAATGCAGTTGCGTAACTCAAAAAGGATTACAAGCCGATACTTCATGAAAACTCAAATAGAGCAATGGACTAATTCAAGAATAGTAAAATTTCTCAGTGGTCAAAACATATAGACATCCGATACCACTTAATCCGGTCGCATATTGATACCTCTTTCAAGCTAGAATAGGTGCCGTCTGAGGACATCTTGAATGATTTATGGACAAAATCATTAACCAAGCCTACTCATCAGCGAGTATCAGCCATTGTTTGACGCAGTCCTGGGGAGAAGTGTTGAAATTAGAGGGTTCACGACCGCACATACTTTTATTTATTGGTAAGAGTGACTAAGCCCCATGTAAGGCGTATACTGTAAGGTTGTATATAGGCTACGATTTTCCCACACACATGGGGTTAAGGAGTTAATGGATATAACATAATACAGTTACATCTTTGTACATAGAATACATATATATCTTTTATATATTTTTCTAGACTCATATTTTTCTCTTCGCCCATTGATACTCTTCCATATCATCATCGCATCACAAACGATCTCCACCTTTACGATACAAGTCACCGTACTGAAGCAACAACTAATCTCTCGGGTAATATCGAGGTGCTCAGGCGAATTGTCGGGCAACGGGTCAATGCATTACGTTTTTTTCCCTGGTGCAAATTGAACTATTATACTTGGTAGCATAGAGTCTCAGGATAAATCCTATCTGATGTTAGTATCAAAACAGCTAAAACTTTTACCATCTCGACTTTTCATGGCACATCTTTTGGATCTAATCTCATCTCGCGACCCTCTTCCAAATCATGTTAACACCTACCGAAGCATCCTACAATCACGAAGCCAAAACGCAAGTCTAAGATGCAAAAAGGCATAAATATCTCCATAACTACTTCGTTCTGTGAGGTTACAGCCTATGAAACGGCCTTAACTGCGACTATACCTCGGTCAAGGAGTCCAAAAACTCGACCTAGGATAGTGCACCACAGGTGAAATACATACGAAACTTCGCCGGCTTATCAAATAAAGTTTTCGAGAGAAGCCCAGACATCGCCGCCTCGGTCATGGCCTCTTCGACGCATATTCGACCTCGACGTTTAGTGCCATAGCAGTAACGGGACAGAACTAGAGGGATTGGACGCTTTTAAAGCTTGTGAGATGACGAAATTAGTAGAAGGATTAAGAAGAAGAAGCTTTAACAGAGTAATGAAAGGGAGAAAAGGCTGGAGGAGACATCTAATGTAGAAAACAACCCCTCGATAAGATGAGGAGTGTCAAATTGGAGCGTAGGCATTTGAGCTGAAGCGGAATCGCAGTGCTAGAAGAGGTTGGATGGACTGCGATATATGGACGAAGGGCTACTGGAGATAATTCGAAGGAACTAAAGGTTCTAGAGATGGGTAACATAAATATCTGAAGAGTCTAAAGGTCTTAGTGGGTACTACGGGTAACTAAAGGTACTAGAGGTACTAGAGATAACCAAAGATGATCCGAAGGTGATAGTTATGACAGAAAACTGGGGGCGAGGAGCTCTGTATCTTCAGACGAAGCCATCACACGTATACTCGCTTTGTGTCTGCTAGCTTATTATAACACAGGCCTTAAACTAGTACCCACGTAACATCAAGTGCCAAGAGCTGTACCTTCGTCATAGAAACGTGGAAGAAGGGTAAAATTATATAAAGGAAGGATCGGAAGAGTAATACTTACAAGGAGATACTTGGACGAGGCAGCACTGCGTTCGAGCGAAAGGACAAATTAGAGATCGGAATGATGTGAGAGGCTCGGGCATCTGCTGGCCGAGTCTGAAGAGAAAATGGCGCTTCGGCGCACAAAGTCGGATTTTTTGGAAAGTTAGACTCGACACGTTCTACACAAGTGAAGTCTGAGGTGATCCCGGCATTCAGGTGGCTCGAAGTTTATTGTACTTATATGGTAGTTAATCTGGTACAGCCCTGTTCGACTCGTGCTGAAGCTCCCATAGGAGTGCCGTAGGTGCAAACTATTAGCGTGTAAATCCACAAACAGACAACCATTCGCAGCGACTTCGACTACCAACTGATATAAGATCAGTTGTGTCTTAGGTGTTTGGTATCTCATCAAACGACATCGCGTTAGTTCAGCGGGTAAAGACCGGCTCTGCATTGTTAGCAAGCGATAATCTTGCAACGAAGCTCCTGGATTCCTTCGCCCCACGGAGGGATACCAGCATCTAAAATAGTTTCCATACGAATTTCTACTTTTTCGGTGATAATCCACACACTCTCTGGTTCCATGTCGACAAATTCACGCGAGTAACTAAATCGTATCCCTTTCTGGCTCGTCTATACAAGATATACAAGGAAGGCAAAGACTAAACACCTGCCCGCGATGTCCCACGAACATCGGGGTAAAATATTCTTACAGATACGAATTCAGACATATTTCACATTACCGAAAAAGTTGGCTCACGAGTTAATGATTCACTATTCCTAACCAAATCAATGTCTCACTGCCAACAAGGCTCATTGCAATCGAAACTCTATCAAGTCTACAAGTGCGACCAAGTACATCCTCATTCCAATGACCACACCTCTCGTTGAATTTCTCTGGCCTCAGCTCATCACCAAATACACGCCCACGTCGATTTTTATACCCAACGGAGGAAACAAAGCGTAGCGCACAAATCTGGGAGAAAGTTCTTTTGAATGGGCGCGAGAGAATTCGGGACAAGTGGAAAAGATCATGCCAATGTTGGATATGATCTCGAATGGAGTGAGGTTTCGAAATTTAGCAATAAATTTTACAAATTAAACTTTGTACGCGCCAAGACTTTGATTGCGTGAGTGCAGGCGACACTTTTAACACCGCCATGGTTAGATGATGCGGTAGTAGATCATCCAGGTCGGTCTCTGCAATAGAGTCTAGCTACCTTGGACACTTGCCTCACTTGAGACAAGAGACCGCTGGTTCGGGTGCAGAAAAGGTAAGACAACATTTCTCGCCGTGCTCGTATGCATGGATGTTGAAAGCAAGCTTGGATAACCAGAGTTTTGTGAATCTCCCTCTGGTAGGTACTTACAGAGAAGGATCGACTGTTTGTATAAACAAACGGACATAACTGGTACTTGCGAATGTGTTCCAGAGTACGAGAGTTTCTAAAGTCAAAAGTGTTATCCCACAAGTATACATAGCATCGATTATGCGTTGTAGGTAGATAGCTGCATACATGTAAATATTAATTAAAAAAAGGCATTCGGTCGAAGGAGAGGGCTGGTAGAAGTCATCGCTGATAGGTGATGTGTTTTTGCACCTTTGTCCTGCGACCACTATCGATGTGCAAACCCCGGAATTGTTTAGCTCTTTTTTTATTACGTGATTTCACAATAAGCTCAGTTTCCAAGTCTAGTCTATTCAAGATTTCTTTAGGGTCATTTATGAAATGCGGTGTTCTTTGCATAGAACCGTTACCTATTTATCTCTCGAGTGGCTTTTGGATCTTGGATTGCTAATTGATTGCATCATTAGATCTCCCTTCTACCAAATTTAAGTCCAATTGTACATTTTGGGACTAATAGGGTTCTACAAATTCTTGCAATGAATTCTTAATTGGTCTATTAAATATTCTGAATATCAATATTTCGTATTCTTTGTCTTATCAAGTTTTTGCCAGGTTTTATGTTTTCAAGTGGGGAGGCTATAGAATCTCCAAAGTGCAATAGCTCTGCACCAATGTTGGTCAGTTTTCGCGAAATAATCTAAACTTTGTATGCGATTTTTTTCTGAGATATATTTGAGGTTACCTGTAATGGGCACTATAACTATGTACTATCTCAACCGGTAAGAATCTACCACTCCTGGATATAGCTCCCAAGTATAATTAGATCCAAGCGTAAAATTAGGTCAATCTTGACTATTATTAGCTATCAAGGTTACAGATCTACCTCTATATAATTGAGACATTAAACCTTTGTCTCTTTGTGCACGTTAATTATCACACGGTAATATGTCACTTTGAAAATTTTCCATTAGTATGTTTCTGTGGCTCTTTTGTTCGACCGTCTCAGCTCATAGTTGGTACCATCCGACTTTGTTTGACGTTTTTGGCTCTTATGATAATGTTAAACCTCTGACTTAAATGATTTATTAATTATTAAAGCCTAGGTTACTGTAAATTAGCGTCGTATGCAAATTTCAGGCGGTATTTTAGTCGTAGTGATATCTAAGCCGAGGATCCCGCTTTCAAAATTCATTAGTACCATTGATGATACTACAGTCAATAGTCTACCGTAATTATGCACATTAGGAATTATTAAATCCCTCAGTTCTAAAGAATTTCTTCGGTGCATTAAGTATAAGCGACAAGATCTTGACTTGTCTTGTTGTCGTCGCAGAAATCCTTTACCTCAATGAGGGTTGTATCAAAGATTTCTGGGTTCTGTTGAAAGACTTGAACAAATGGTCTAACCTTGGAAAATACAAACTAATGTAGACTATCATTACTTACAAAAATTAAATATTCTCAATTACAAGAAAATTTTCATTTTTAGAGAAAACTGGTTTTGGTTCTTGTATATGATATGATTTCAAACATATGATTAGAGTGTTAATAACTTTGCAGATTTTTAAATATACCTCATTTAATTCATCAGTATAGGCACTATTTGGCTACATATTATGTGTGAGATTGGTGTCCTTACTATTAGACAGTAATTTTCGAGGATAACCTTTAGATAAAAAAAAGTCTGGGAGTATGCTTCAGAACCTGAAGTAATTTTTTGAAGAGACATATACTGTTATGCCCTGAAGTGCTGTACAAATCCATGAAGTCTGTCGATAACAATTGGAAAGATAGCGCTTGTGCTATCCTCTATCAATGTGTCAAAATGACGAATTGCTTCTTCTTCGCTAAGTTCCAAGTGAAATCTTTCCTTGACTTTCAAAACCACTTTATCTGGCTCTATTCGGATGTCAGGGATATTGGCATCGACCATTAGACTAAATAGGTTGAGAATTAGATTGCTACATTTTCTGAGTGTTGTGTAGGCTGTAAAGCAGTACTGCTTAAATTGAGCGTATTGGGTGGAATTGCTACCACCCATCCCATCAACCATTTCCTTGCATAATTTCATAGCAGGAGCAAACGGTTTTGGATCACGGCCAAGAATGTATCCAAAATCAGCATGAAAAAAATGACCATCAGGTGCAAGCAGAAGATTGTCTAGATGGCGGTCACCAACTCCTAAAAGGTAAGTGATTACGCAGTAGCCTGCGCATGATTTGATGAATGTTTCGAGTGCCTCTTTTCGAACCCCTAGTGAAGCTCGGTCATCAGGATTATTACTTGCGAGGTATGTGAGTACACTATTTCCTTTGAATTTATTGACTATACTTTGTAGCGACATAGATGGGACAAACTGAGCTGCACCGGCCGTTGAGCTAGTTGCAAGTATTTTATAAGGTGAGAGTTTCAAATCTAAATTCTCTTTCTGTAGCAACTGATCCATCAAAGTAATTATCTGGATTACTAGTTGATCTTGTCGTAAATCATCGCCACTCTTGAATATGATTTGATATTTTTGCTTCGATAATGTCTTAAAAGTCAGCATGATAGGAAATAATGATGATTTGAATACTTGTGTTTCTGTAGGTTCTATGCCAGTGAGCATGATTGAAGGGTCTAGCGGCAGCGGTAGTGGTGGATTAATTGTGATGATCTCATTTTTAGGGTCAGTGAGGTACTGTTTCACTTTTTCTGTTTTTCGAGCCACTGACTCTTTCGACATTTTGATATCTCTTGATATTTTGGAGATGACTGCTATAAGCTCGGCTTGTCTAAGTAAAAGCTCTCTAATCTCAACTCCCCCGGTTCTTTTGACAAGTGCAGTCATGAAATCATATTCAACTTTGGCGAAGAGCTTCCGATATCCAGCCCCCTGGCCTTCACTTTGGTCGTCACATTCCACCATCAGGTACCAGTGGAAGTGATTTCCGAGCATAAAGCTACTTGTTGCGCGTTCAATTAAAAATTTGGCTAGTGAAGAATTACGTGTAACATCTCGATCGGAGGAATCTGAAATTGGCTCGAATTTTAATGCTTGAACAAGCTGTAGCAAGTAAAGAAGAAGCTCATTGTCGTTAGATTTCCGTAATCGATCCACAGCATAGGCTCTCACTGCTTGGTTGTCAAAAGTAGGCCCGAGAAGCTCAAGTGCATCATCGACATCAACTTCGGTCCACTTGGATGATGATAGAATCTGAACAGCCTGTCCACATTCGTTTTGATCTTGCCAATTGACCGATTTAACAAACTTCGTTAATGCTCTCTTATTTGAGGTGAGGTGGTGCCGAAATTTCCAAATGAGATCTTTTTCCTCAGGCGATAGAATGTGCGTGGGTGCATAAGCGATGATACTATTTAGTTCATCTCTTACTTTGGCGTTTGGCTTAAGATCTCGATCCATCAGCCCTGTCCTATGGCTACGGACAAGCCGTCTATGCTTACTCTCTACTGGGTTATCTCTTGCTCCAACGTCTGGATCGTAGATTCTGAAGTTATCTCCATACCCTTCATTTTGATCAAGTATTCCATCTATTCCTGGACCAAAATGGGCTTCCTGTAATGTCTTCGACAGGATATTTGACTGAGATGAAGATAAATGTTGGAGTGGAGAAATTGATGGCGGGGAATACTCGTAGTCTGAAAAAACAATTGGAAAATCAAACCGAGGAAATTCTATATTGAGAACGAATTTTTCGTTTATGAAATCATTCGTTTCGGCTTCATTACTTCTGTCGGATTCACATTGCTTATCTTTATCAGAATCTGGAATATTGGTATACTTTTGATCTCTTCTAAACTGAACTTTTGTTATCGGCTTGCTAGAGTTCTCTCTTGATCTCTTTTCAGTGCCTCGAAATACTAACTGATCAAGCCATTCGACTCTAGGAATCTCACCCATTTCATGTTTCTTGAAAAGTTTCTCTAGTCTTTCCATTTCCTCGGCATGTCTATCAATTAAACTTTCATTTTCATTATTCTCCAAGTGACAAGTTTGTGGCATATAATATGGAGTAGTTGTTGAGCTCAAGCCGTCTGCAACTTTCCCCCGATGTAGGTGACATTTTTGTCGCCCTTTGTGAAGCTGATTTTCCTTATCAAAGAGAGGGAATGTTGTTCCACCAAACGGTATGGCATGGCCATTTGCTTCTTTTCCACCGCTTGGGCATAGGTCCCAGACAGTGATACTGAGCTGGGCACTAAGTGGTAAAGTGGAATAGTTTATTGGTAAGGTAAGCCATTCGTTCCACCTAATTAAAGAGTCAGAAGTTATTTTTTGTTTTTTTATGCAATAGTTCCTCTGACCTTCGTTCGTTCTTGAAGGGCTTGTATGTCGTATGTATTGGAACGGTCAAAGGCTTCGAGTCTGCCCATAACTGCACAGTAGCATAGAGGTCTGAAAAAAGACTGAGACAAATGCTTGAGTGAATTCGAAAAAGTTAACACTGTTGATCCTCACCTCGTGTTTGAACCAATATGACGCAGATCTGACCTCTGAACGAGTGTGGAGAAGGGTACTTGTGTCTTTTCACCCTCTAAGCTTACACTATCATTTGGTCAGCCATGGCCAATTTAGGTCTGACATTGTGTGAACATTTTAATATTAACAGGAATCTCAACGGCATCAGAGCTAGCAAAGGAGAAGGGGTCCATATTCTTTACTGTAGAGTGATGTTTCCCAAGGCTGAGGTGCGGGATCCTATCGTGGTCAACGGTGGTAGGTGCACGCAATTTATTAAACGCGTAAACACGTCCGGCGCTAGGATCCGCTGTAATATCAACAAGATGAGTTCTCTCAACCAGCGTTAAGTTTCATAACAATATTTCTGGCTTGTGTCTACAATTATTATTGTTCAATGCGCCTAAATCATAAATTTCTCTGCAAATAAAAGGCATGTCTAGCCTTGAAACGAAGCCAATCATCTCACAGAACAATTGATATATCCAAATATATGGCGCGCACGAGCAAAGCGTTATCATCCCCAGATCCTGATAGCGACGGTCCGCATGGTGCCTCTTCCTATCAAACTAGAAAGAGTCGTAGCTCCAGTATTCAACAGGTCTTTTCCTCACTATCTCCTGCCAGTTCAGTTTCTGAAAGAGAAAATCTCAATTTACGATCAAAAGAAAAACAGAAGCAATGTGTTATGAAATCTCGAAATGCTCTTATCTCCGGCGATCGAGGATCAAAAATAAATATAGCCGATCAGGAATTTAGAAACAGTCAAACATCTCGAAGGCGCTCAATAGAAAACGAGAATAATTCAGATGAGAATTATGATCCAGACCAGAATATCGAAGAGAGGCGAAAGGTGCGAAAAGGACTTAGGGACCTAAATAGGATCTTAGTCGAGCGTCGTAATGAATACCTCAACCCAAGCTCAACGGGACTTGAGGATACAATTACTCAAGCAAATACTTTATCCCGTCAAGTAAAGCAGACATCAGACGCTACCATCGACTCAAATTTACTCGTCACTGCAGCAGATATCACCTACAAAAGGACGATCGCTATTATCTCTGGAGAGACTGGCCAAGGAATGGACCTCGATGATTTTATTAACAAGTGCAAAGCGTATATAAGACTAGGCGAAGGAAGTGCTCCCACGCAAGGTCAAAAAAATCAGGGATTAAACTCAGAAATAGGGGCGGAAGTTGAGGACGAAGAGAGCGATGAAGTACTAAATTGGGAATACTTAGGAAGAAATGCTTGTGCTCCATATACTGGTAGACCATGTGTGCCTGGCTTCCTACTGGGCCCTCTTTCAACCGAAAAGAAAGCCAAACGTTCTATAGTTCGAAAAGCAGCTCTCAGAATTGGCTCTATGGTAGAGTCAAGGCCTGAAATATTGCGTAGGGAAGATATAGTGCGAGACGAAGATTTGAATCTCTCAAATGTATGCCAGAAAATAACAAAGAGGCTAGAAAAAATTCGTGGTGACGCTATGTCTGCAGTTGAACTTGAGACAAAGGAGGATATGACAGAAGAGGAAGCCGACTCACTTCTCGATAAATACGATCTATCTAGAGATGCAGGAATTTCATTCTTCAAATTTGTCATTAATCCGTACTCATTCGGGCAGACTGTCGAAAACCTATTTTACGTTAGCTTCCTTATTCGGGATGGAAAAATGGCCGTAACTATGGACGAGCGAGGAATGCCCTATCTAGGTTTGTATCAATGCTCTCAAAAGTTTTTCTCCAAAGCTGATCATTTTCAGAATTACGAGATGACGAAGGAAACGGCAACGTAAATGGTACTGCAACTAAACATCAAGCTGTCTTGTCGCTTGATATGGCTAGTTGGAAGGAAATGATCCAACTGTTTGACATCAAAGATCCCATGATTTTGCACAGAAATGAGCCAGAGTCAAGGACATTAAACAAAAAGGGCTGGTATGCTTGAAAACTATGCCTAGTACTCCTTCAAATTTCAAATTAAGTTGTTATGCTCAACTTCACAATACCTCTACGAGTCAGAATACTTGGTCTCTATCCACCATTTTTAAATCAACAAAGCATCACTATGTAAAGCGTGAATAAAGATTAAGTGAAGGTCTTATCACGGGATTACATACGCGTAAATACTTTTTACCCTTGGTTAAACGCCATCGCAAAACCACGCCAAGCTATCAAAGCCAACAAGAAGCTATCCAAGTTACGAAATGGGGTCATTGCTTTTGCCTTTACATCATAACTCAAGGTAAACATCCTCGACAGGGAACCCAATACCTTACGAACTGAATCACAAAAAGCCAGTTACTCGAAAACTGGCGGTATACACTGCTCATGATTAATGATTCTTTTAGGACCTACAAATATATTTCTGTCAACCCACCTTAGTTATGACTTCGATATTTTTAAACAGGATGAGATAGCCATTCAGCAAAACCAAGCTCTAATCTAAACGCTTATATACGTATCCTGCTACGGGAAGAATTATGTAGTAAATACGAGTATCTCCAATAAATCACCGAATTCCAGCAGGGCTTAAAAGAAGCGTCCCCAGCACGACAGCTACAAAAATAAAGGCTGAACACTGATTTTCCAAATATGGAAATCTTAAGCTTCTTTTATTTTAAATTGCCACTAGAAGTCGATATTCCATGTACGGCAAATCACAACAGGCTAGACACCTTGTGTTCTCTTGATTGTTAGGCAGTGTGTTTGGTTCTATAGCATTGGTCACAATCATATGTAGGACAAAGCTGTTGCAAACTATCTTTCTGAAGATGTGACTTTTAAAAATTATCTAGAGAAACTGTTCATTCTGATCTGCGATACGTAAAATTACTGGCATAAATATGTGTATGACAGGAACTGGACATGAGTTAGAACAGACGTATAGAGATCGGCTACGATTAAAGGGTAGAAGCGTCAAACCAAATCGAAACGTTTAAGAGAACTGATTGGGTTGCCGTCCATCCCAAATTATTCACTATGAGCTATTTTATTTTTGATTGATCAGTTTCACGTCTCGAAGAAATGAAGATTTCATTAGTATTGTATCGATTGAAGGTCTCTCATGAGGCATGAGCTATTAAGTGTCTAGTAGGTACGTTAGCAGCAAGTTTGTAAGATAACATCGGGCCAGAAGAACCGCTTTAATTGTAAAGTCTACACTCTCCACATGATTTCAAATCTGAAAATCAGATCTACCCCTTTAAATCTATCCAACATAGAAAACTCGTGAGACGCTGATATGATGGCGGTGCGAAAGTAAATTTAACATGAGTTCACTTATCTATTGACTAGCTTTCATTACTTGCAGGACTCAATGTCTGACAATTGATCAATGTTTTTAGGTCACTGCTTCACCTTGATAGCCACACATCGCGAAGAGCATTTTCAAATTGAATAGAGCTTGTAGACGAAAATAATATAGAATCGGAATATGTCTCCGATTCATCCGTGTAGCACAAAATTTACTCGGCAAATTTGATAAGAACACTCCTCTCACCTTCCTGGGCTATTCCCAGCTTTGGTAGAACTTCATACAAGCCTAACCCTTGCATTTTCACGTGATATAATTTAGCGTTCTTTTCTTTTGTTTGTTTACTCACATGCCTAGCATTGTTCACAAATATCGCTCGCCTCCCCCAATCACCCTGTTCAACAAATCTTGTACACACGAAGCCCAATCTTCAACCACAATACCACCATCCCCATCCATTAGTCGCTGCAAAATATCACCAGCTTATTGAGTACCAATCAGACCGAGACGAAAAAAGTCACTAAGAAAGCTATTTTAACACCTTCAACAAAGAAGCAAGAGACCCCTTCTTGTCTTCCTTTCGGCACGTCGAAAGGCATTCGAGAAGAGATCTCAATCTGAAAGCTCGTCAATCTGGACTTTGACGCTCGCGTCCCGATCCCTTTCAGCGTTTTTCCCTCGTCGTACCGGGGCGAAGAGAAGCAGGAACCGGCTCCGGCAGAGGGTCACAACGAAGCTGAGCACCACAACAGCAGCCCAGAGCAGCCGCCTCCTGTTTCGCACAGTACAGCGCCTCCAGCTCCTCAATCAGTTGCTCCATCAGTTGCTCCATCAGTTGCTCCATCAGTTGCTCCGTCAGTAAGTGAAGAAGAGATTAGGATCACGCACGAGGATAAATACACGCCATCAGTTCACACAGAAAACACTCATTTTCCTGAAGAACGAAGGTACGTTGAATAACTGAAAGATTTTTACCACTGAATCACATAATAATTGGGTCTGTTTGGATCTGACCTGGAATATCCCCAATGGGAAGCTACCCACATCCCCCCTTGTTATCCAGACAAACCCCTGTCATCAAATTTACGCGTCCAAGCTGCGAAGCCCAATCAAACTCATTGAGTTACCCCTGTTACCAACTTTACTTTTTATTAGATTTATCTCCTTTGTTAACCTTTCCCTAAACTTCCTACATCTGCTCACATCCTTTTTTCATCAGAGCATACAAACAATCAACAACACACATAGATATAAAGCTACCTAGTGTGCACAGACATACGAAGACTGCATCTGAAGCACCACGCCGACGAACATATCGTGATTACCACGAGACTCAAATCGACGTAGCTGAGCGTGAATATCGAACGCGGTATCAGCCTAATCAACGGGACGATACCCGTTTCAGTACCCCAGTCAAAGAATCCCACGTCTCCCACCCCAACCGAGAATCAGAAAAGCGTCACCCAGAACCTCACTTCCAACCCACTAATCTTCCTCAACCTATCTACCGTGAGGACATAAGACTTGTTGCTCCCTCTGAGGACCACACATCAAAAGATAGACGAGAAAAGCCAAACAATAAGGTCTTTGCCCAAGACTCAGCACATCAGATTCCAGAAAAAGAACAAAGTACACCCGAAGAGCCAACCGAAAGACCACCATCCAACAAGATGGGTTACTATGACGATGGTATACTCCCAAATAAAAAAAATCACAAATGATCAGATACTAACTAACAGACAGGCCACTGCGAATCCGGAGGTTCTGCTGAGCCTGCTTTCACTCACAACACTGTGACGATTCCATGTCACCATATTCGCGTTGGTGATCTACTTATACTCCAAGGCAGGCCGTGCCAGGTCATACGTATTTCAACCTCTGGGGCAACTGGACAACACCGCTATCTTGGTGTAGATCTATTCACAAAGCAGCTTCATGAGGAGTCTTCCTTTATCTCTAACCCAAGTCCTAGTGTTGTCGTTCAGACTATGCTCGGCCCAGTCTTCAAACAATACAGAGTTCTCGATTTACAGGATGGACATGGTACCTAAGTCCCCCATCTAACTAGAAACATTCCTAACATGTATAGTCGTCGCAATGACTGAAACTGGTGATGTCAAACAATCAATTCCAGTTATTGATCAGTCAGATCTCTGGGGTCGTCTCTCAAAAGCATTCAAAGCTGGAAGTGGATCTGTCAGGGTTCTTGTAATTTCGGATTCTGGCCGTGAGCTTGCCGTTGATATGAAGGTTATCCATAGTTCAAGATTGTAGGTTAGACTCGATAGAACACGACTTGCAAGGGAGGGACGGTCTTCAGGCACAGAGTCTAGTGTACTCAATGTGAAATGTAGCAAAATTTAGTTATTGTGAAATTGGATAATATAGAACTTTTCAGCAATCTATGTCAAAAATTGCTTATAGGCTTATCTTTTGCACACCATTGTAAAACTGATGAACGTCATCCAAATTTGGCTATTGTTACATAAGCAATTTACTTATACATCACACTTAAGAACATATCTGGAAGGTATAACGTGTCTTAACCCTGTATACTTGGTTGATAGATAACTCAAAATATTTATGGTCAAGTTCTGGTTCCACAATGTGAGACTCCATGTCAGTGAAAAATGTCCGCCCGCTATGTGTAAGGGCCCATCTGCGTCTAACTCAGGGTGGGAGACGTCAATCTGTCATACTGCCGAATAGGGGTTTTAATATCTCAGTCAAAGAGTAGGTAGGGCATTGTTATGAAGTTACTGAAATTGGCACTGACAAGGCCAAACTCCACTCTACCTATGATTGTGGTAAGACTCGGCGCTAGGAGAAGGCTATCAAGCGATGGCAGATTGTCACTTCTTTCCACATCGCGATATGAATTGCACGGCAAACGCGGAACTATCTAAAATGACTTTACTAGAACAAGACATATGCCCATCTCTACAGCTGGTAGAGCCTTTGCCACTCGAAATACCGGATGATGAGAAAGAATATTCGATGGTCAACAGTGCCCAAATGTCAGGCGCGACTCTAAAAACTGGTCATAGCCCTGCTTACTACTGTACGGCTCCCTGGGAATGTATGCTTGAGTAAGGGTGGACTAACGTGTGTCCTAGTTATGCGATTACAAAGATACTCATCCTATGTATTTGGCGTATTTGCAGGAGTACACTTGGCAAATACTTCTTTGATTCCGCTGGTTACTCAATCAGTCGAAGCTTCGGAAAGCTACTTGCTGCTCACGCGGCCCTACTATCACAACTTTCCTCTTGAAGAAACATTGATCACTGTGCCTATCGTACTGCATATAACGGCAGGAGTCGCCTTGCGCCTTCACAGGCGAAGAATCAGACAAAGGCAGTATGGAACGACAGAGGACCGGCAAGCCAGTAGCTGGCCTCCCATCTCATGGTGCAGTGTCAGTGGGTATATGCTCACGCCACTGGTGGTGGGACACGCGTTTCTCAATCGCATTCTGCCTTGGATTCACGAGGGAGGAAGTTCGGGGGTGGGGCTGGGTTATGTGTCGCACGGCTTCGCGAGGCATCCCATTCTCGCCACCACAAGCTATCTGACCCTAATGGGGCTTGCGGCGGGCCACTTCAGCTGGGGCTTGGCGAAGTGGAGGGGCTGGCTACCAGCTGATGATAGCAGAGGTGCTAGGCGACGGTGGTGGGCCATACAGGGAGTTACGGCGGTGGTGGCCGTGAGCTGGATGGCGGGCGGTTTGGGCGTAGTTGCGCGCGGCGGACGGGCTGATGGATGGGTGGGAAGGGGCTACGATGTTCTCTACGGCCGGGTAGGGCTCTAGCCTTGGTGCTTGCGGACTGGTCCGCAGGGGCTGGTCTTGTTACGCGAAAAATACACCGTGCCCTGGCTTATGATGGGGTCCATTAATACATAGACTATTGACACGGCAACGTGAAATGAAAATTACATCTCGAACCCACTCTATAGCCGCATTTTGCCCGCCTTAAGCGCCTACGTCTTCGGGATCTTCGGTCCCTGAACATTGCTCCGTTGCGGACAGATGGGCGACTCCGCTGCTACACTCAGCGGCGCGCCATCAGGGGCTAACCCGTAGCCGCGGTGTCAGAGGAACGGCAGCGAGATATCCTTGCCTACAAGTCTCCTGAGAGACCACTACCTGCCCCCTAACAGTGTGCAGACGAGCCCCGGTCTATGAATGACCCGCTTCAGGGGTAAGGCGAGTGTCTGGATCACGGGAGAATCCGTTTAGAGTCATTAGATGACAGAGCGGTCTGTGTGTATTACTAATATGATTATATCAGCCAAGCTAGCGCGCTCGCATGGTGGGAACGATTGGACGACGAAGCGAGGGCAATTTACACGAGACGACGTGCCGATCCTGAGAAGGCCAAGGGATAGAAGATCGGTGAGCTGAGCGTCTGCTGGCTCTGGCCAGTCTGGTATGGTAGGGCGGATGGGCGAGAGCGTCGCCTTGAGCGGACCGACTCCTCCTTTCCTCACACGAGCCGGCTCGCAGGCATCGACATGTCACTAAGATCGCCCCCCCGCAGGCCAAGAAGCGCCAATGCCATGCCGACCCATCCGCGAGTTCTAGGTGCATGGAGGCGGCGAGCAGCCGTCCAGAGTCGCACAGCCGAAGGACTGTGCAGCTTCGCTGTGTGTTGCGGTGCGGCTAGCGGCAGCCGAATGCTGGACTCGATCCTCCTCGCCCCCAGCCCAAGATGAGTTCCCAGCCACCGCAATAGACGCCCACGACTTCGTGGACGGCAGGCTAGCCACCCAAGTTGTCTTGAGCTTGCATGTTCCTGTTTTAGCGATACCTAGTACAACGGGCCCAGCTTCAATTGCTGGATTTGAGGATGCTGTCATGGTGACATGCTATTCTTAGATCGCCGTTGCCCTTCTAATGCTTACGTCATTGAGCTTCCAGATCAGGTGATGGGATGCTGATATAGTAAGTTGGACCGTACCAGGCATGTCTACTGACAACACAGAACCGGCGTGGGAAGATTCACACTGTAACCATTCCGAATACTATGGCCGGCACTATCGTTCATCTCCATCTATTCCAGTGGTTGGGGTCGGTAGGAGTGCTGTCACATGTTATGCCGAACTAAGCTTTACGTGAAGAGCTCAAGACGAATGAGTCATGGTATCTCGTGATACTTGTCCACAGTGGTGTGCTTCTTTGCTTTGAAACAGAATCGCACACCTACACCATCCTCCAACTGATCTTCCGACGCCAGGCTTCAACCTCGCGAGTATTGTTGATTTGCTCGTGGTTTAACGTCCGTTGGGGCGCCGAGCCGAAGCCCAGATCCGCAGTGCCTACTAAACTAACTGGAGGGATGGACGCCAGTGCTAACTGCCCTGGTGGCTTAGTTCCTACTACTCCCTGACTCGAGATGCCAAACTATATATCCAAGATGAGCATTATTTGTGGCAGAGGTTCACAGCAAATTTAGCACATTTCATAGATTTACCATCTCTATTATTATTGGGGGCTGGGCTATTTCTACGTCTTGCTTTACAAAAATTATTAGCACGCGCCTACCAGTCTAGGAATGGTGTTGTCATTATTGGTCTCCACTGGTGGGTTACCTGCGACAAATTGTAGTAGAGAACTTTAAAATGGCAACCACCTTGTCGCGCATAGGGCTTCATCCCGGGTGCCTAGCAAGTATTTTTTTTTTAATTCGTAGTGAATTCAGCCATCTAGCTATGACACATCTGACTATTTTAGATCTAAATACAAATATTTAATCCCAATTTCCTCTACTTATCTTCTAGTCTCCTCCCTTTCAGTCAGCTTTGGGTGCACTCATGCATCCTGTCTCTTGAAGGAATTGGAGAGTTGCTTCTTTTCCAATTTTTGTATTAAACAATATCTCTATTCTCAATGGCAATATACCTTTAAAAGCTTCTTTTCTTTCAGTCTTAAACTTACTACAATAAAGAAGTAGGTGTTGAACAGTCTGTTTTCCTTTCCAACAAAAGTTGCAAGAGTTATCCTTCACTTTTTTAATTCGAAATAAATGGGCCCTGGTATTTCCAATCCCTGTTCTTGCTTTTACATACGAAGATTGTGTCATTCTACTGTAATGACTAAAATGTATGGTCTCATTTTTATGATAACAAGTATTTTGCGGTATCGCTAAATGATGGGCGATCCGAGGGGGTCTTGGAACTTGGAGTCTACACCCCAGAAAGTGCGTAGGGGCCATGGAGAGGCCATAACTGTAGAGAAGGTGAGCGTCTAAGTGATTGAACCGAAGGTGGTGTGCGGCAAAGTCTCGTGCTCAGAGCGGGCAGCATCTGATCACACCAAGATAGGTCTAGAGAGGAAAAGCTCATTGGGTTTGCGCGTGTAGATTTCGATGGCTAGGCGTCTGTGAGACTAGGGGCTCGACCATCTAAGTAAGATCTTGCAAGAGTCCTACAACGCTCAACGCGCATCCCACACAACCATCTATTTTTAAAATCGAATGGTGTAGAAACGTAGTTGACAAGCGTGATCATTAGGTCGTAGTCATTTCTGCACCGAAAGAATCACTGGCCTCAATAAGCTCAAATGATCAAGTGGATATCAGACCCAAAATGCCCGAGAAAGCAGGGGTCGGGAGAGAAGCAAAGGTTCTGATTTTTTTGAAGTTCGTAAGCAAAGGTTCGCTCGTTCAGGTCCATATTGAACAGCCCTAAAAAGGCTGAAGGACGACATTGTGGGTTCTACATCAAGAGTGGCTGGGGAATTTCCGGTCGAATAATGAGTTAGAATCAAGGTTCGTAGCCACTCGCGTGCGCCAAATCTCGTCAACGGCATAAAATCCGCAGTAGGATGAGCTGGGAATACAACATCAAGCGCTTTTGGTGACGTCACCCACCAATCTAGAATCCTCACTACAAACTTTTCAGATCTGAAACCAATCTTGTATTTTAGTCTGCTCTAAAGTTACACTTTCGAAAAAACCTTTGATCGACACGACCATGACGGTGATGCGATACCGAGTGTCACTGCGGTTGTAGAGGAGTTCATCTTCAGAGCCCACATAAATTACGCAAGCCGTGAGTGGAATAGAATACCTAACAGCTGTCCGAGGTGCCGCCTACGAACCTCCGGCTCTTATTGTAGAATCTGCCGGGCAAAGATTGAGAAACACATTTGTTTTCACCTATGTAAGGATTTCCAGACGCTCTCGCGGCCTGTGTTATACACATCTCTCGGCATATTCCCCTGGCGTTTTTATCACGAGGCTAACCGAGCTCAAGTTATATATTAGTGCGGAGGTCCTACTCATCACTCACCCTTAGTCACGGAGGAGAAGCTTTGACATGAGCTTCTGGAGCCTACCCAGCATCCGATGCGGCTGTAGTAGATTGGATTTATTGGCCTCCGACGTTACAAAGGAAGATTAAGATGAGTACGCGCATCTTGTATGGCTCCGGCGTCCAGGCCTCGCCAGGCTAGTGCAGCAGGTTTCAAGAGACTTTTCCCGCGGACGCAGCTTCATTTATTACCAGTTTCTTTTCGGATAAAATTCCGTGAAAAGGCCGAATTCCATCGATGAATACTAGGATGAGCCAGCAAAGATGAAATCTTCATTTTCCAGTAGTGCCGGTGTAATTACTCAGTATGCTCTGCATCCATGGGACAGCCAAGAAGAATCGCATACGAATCGAAGTCAAAAGCAGCCTCAGGCACACCTCCATTTGACAACTTCTCGACAATGCGACTCTTACCATACTCATTTGAGTCCCCAAACTCTTTCTAACTACACATCATCACGCCTCAACGACCAATAAAAGAGTTGCTTCAATTGCATGCAGGAGCTCGCCCCATTAATTTCCAGTCATCTCTCACTACATATTTACGACGCTACGTATATCCGCAAGGAGGAAATCACGTCGAAAAATAAAAAGCCTGGTTCCTAGCTTATGGGGCACTGTTTCACCAATGGGATAAACAACTTGAGGGAGGACAAGCGCCTAAGAGGTGGAGCGAGAGAGGGAACAGGTTTTTGAAGACTATGCTGGGACCGATATTTACGAGAAATTTCAAATTTGGATTTTTTGTGGTCGCCAAGACCAAGATTTCGGCTAATTAGCCGGGAGGGCTTCTCTTGTCGATGAGTCAACGGCACTCCCCAGCGCCCTGGACGGTACAAAAGAAGTTGGGCTAAGCTACCATACAGCAACCTTGCCCTGTTAAGACTTTTCTGATATTTCAGCACGACTTTCAGGAAGGAGGCTAGGAATACAGAATGTAAATTTCCTGGGGTACACACGAGTCTGTAGCGCTCAGCTGGCCGGCCTCTTCGAACGCTTCAGAAGGGTCACTATGTCTTCGTATCTAGTTCTAATGTCGGTATTCGAAGAGCTCCGCACCCAATGGTTTTTCGATTTTTCCTGGCTATTATACACCCACAATTAGCCATCGTTTTGTTAGCTGGAGAGGGAAGATATTGAAGGGCAAAGGGCTCCTCAAAGTGTACGATTGAATGATGACTTGTGAGGGGTGTTGTGATTTAACGCTGTACGACCCGCGGACTTTGCGGTGGGTAGTTATTACATATCACGTGATGGAACACAGGAGCGAGTTAAAATAGGGGACAGCTCACTAGCCAAATCTAAGCGATTACGGGCACACGTAGAACTGTAACACATTCTCTGTATATAGACATCACAAGTAATTATCATTAACAATTTAATTAACCTTCACACAATTGAGACCCACAGAAGTGCCAAACTTTCAAACAACCCTTAATTGTATTGTCGCAAATGCATCTGTAACGAGCCAACACTGCATTTTAGAATACACCCTCT